GAATAAGCTTTGCTGCCTCGTAGTTCTCTACCTCGAGCTTTTCCAGAGCAAAAAACTCTTTCGAGTCAGGATCTGTGAGTTCCGCATTAGTTTTGATCTGATAATACGCATTTGCAATGAAAAATTTGCAAATATGTTCGATTTCTAAGGCACTCCGGAGACGGCTGCGATAAGCCGCCATCTTGGAATTCATCTCTCCTTTTCCGTCATCAGCATCACCCTCGTCATCTGAGGAATTTTGCACACCATTCGGCCATGCGATCTGCTCCTTCTTACGTTCATTTTCAAGCTGAACTCGAGAATCCTTAACATTAGACTCAGCCAACGCCAACGCGGCTTGCCACAGCTCCAAGGCCTCCTTGGGCTGGCCAGCATTCTCCAGCAGCTGGCCGCGGCGAATTTGAGACAAAAGAAGTGAGCGTTCCTCTGTACGGATACGAGCTTCATTCTGGTCAATCATCACCTCCAAAACCTCTGCGACGGAGCGAAGTGGACCGCTACTCGCTCCCAAACCCTTGCGGCCAGTACTAGCTACTTCAGGATGGAGACAAGCCTGGCGAAGCCTTGTTAACCAGCGCCTCATTGCGTCAATGACGTGTTTCGAATTAGGATCCCAATCTGCTGTACGAGGGTCTCCTAATGCGTCGACTCCGCACTCGTCGCACATTTGTTCAAAAAGTTGATGGTAATGTTGTTCTTCCACTGGTGTGAATGGGATAGTTATAACAACGCGCTTCTGAAGAGGTAGGTGTAATTCATCACGTATCATATCCTTATTATGGCGCAGGACAATGCGACCAACAATTTCTTTGAATAGGGGCTTGTGGATCTCGTATAATCGAACCCAGGCATCCGACCAATCGCATAATGGGTGAATATGTAGAAATGAAAGTATACCGAGCAAGTCATTCATATCCTTTCGAAGTGGTGTACCTGTTACTGCCCAAGCGTTGCGCCGCGGAATAAGCCTCGCCACCCTCGCCGCATGGCCCGTTTTAGTTTCAATCATTTGAGCTTCATCGATACAAACTCTCCACCAAAATATTTTGACCAGGGGGGATTTCCTTGGAATCGATTTCTTCTCACTACGTAGTGAACGGTCAGGTGGATCTTCCGCGTAATGAACTTCTCCCTGTAAGATATTGAACGTTGTGAGAACAATGTCACAGGATGCTAGTTTTTGTACCAATTCCTCATCGCTCCCTTTCATGCGATTGATACCCCGATAGTACGTATATCGAAGATGTGGAGCACGAGATGAGATTTCGTGTTTCCATTGTTCAAGGAGAGTAAATGGAGTGATGATCAGGGTGGCACCGGATTCGGTAATGGCAGGCGGTTGCTGAAGTAATGGCAGCCCCCGCTCAGGAGCAGGCCTCCGGTGCAATAAAATCAGAGTGATAATTTCCACGGTCTTGCCAAGTCCCATTTCCTCAGCGAGAATACCGCCTTTCAGTGTCGTAGTACTGCTCCACTCCTTAATCTCGGAGGTCATAACCCAGTAAAGGTGACTGAAATAACAGATGTGTCCGTCCGCATCTGTTATCTGAGAGAAAGAGTCGGGAAGAGCAGAGTCCTGAGGATGTGAACAATCCTGCACTTTACCATCCGGAAGGAGCTCTACACCTTCTCTTTCAAGTAGCCACCTAACTGTTCTCCTCTGGAAAGGGAAAAGCTGACATTGAACCGGTATAGTGCTTAGCGGCAGATCCAAACTTTTGGAAGGGACATGGGCACTCTCGTAAAACTCGCTAGGGCTCCAGGTTCTCTTTTCAACGCGCCACTGCCGCCAATCCCGACGGGGGCGTGTGGTTTCGTGACGTTCCTGCGGCGCGCCTGGCAGATATGTTGAAAATGCTTTATTCTGCCAAAAGCCCCTTTTCCCGAGCTTAACGGTATCTTTCCAAAACACCTTTGTTTCAAGAATGAATGAAAGTTCGTTACCCTCAACCCTCCTCAGTGTGGACATTGTAAATACTGTCGGGGGATCTTTGCGCGGCGGAAAGGCTGAAGGCAACTTCCCCGGGAGGATAGGGTCGTGGTTCCATGTGTAAAAATCGAGTGTCTGGTCAAAGATGACATCCGAGCTACTAGTTCCGAGCTGAATCTTATATTTTTTCACAGGAGCATTGGATACGCCAGAGAAATCGTCTAACTTGGAGACTGCTAAAATGATAACAGGAATTTTATCCGGAGTGCCATTTTCAAAGATTGAGGGGACAGCACTGGTGCCAAGTGCCGGCGACGAAAACGTCTAGACAGAAAAAGATGAGCGTCAGCTTGCGACAAAGGAGACGAATTCCACAGTCCCTCGCTCGAAGGTATTGCTCGTCACGCGGCTTCCCTTACTATTGTCAATTCTATGTGCGCCAAAGTCAAATACTCCGGAAACATAGACGAAGGAATGTCCTTATAATTCCATATCTTTGTGTTTAACTTCTGCCGCTTTCTTGGGTGATCTTGACCCGAGTCCGGCTCCTTCGGTTTTGAGAAACACCCTTGAAGAATGTCTGGCACGGGGCCTTCATTGCATCGCATGTCAGTACCCATTCACATAAACCGGAGATGGGCGAATAACCGTACCTGACGCGAAAGCCACATCTTGAAAAATAGACATATCAATATGGTCTCCAGATGAGCCCCGCCTTCAGTCCTGCCCCATCAATTGCAGATGAACTGGCCAAGACGTCGGACAAGGAAGGCAGCAAACTAGGACAGCGCTTTTTGAGCGTCAACATCCCCGCACGTGACTGGCGAATACGGAGGTTTCTCCATGCATATAAGCAGAGATGAGCATACACTGTGCTGACCATTCAAGCTTAATGGAGAGAAGAAACCCAAATTTGCTAGGCATATTTCAGTCCGCAAGGTCTCGTTTCGTAGGTGTTAAACTATGGCGAAATAAATAAACCATTCTTGTTGGGTTTCACCATTTGTGCTATTTTCGCCCACTCAATAATCACGAGGGTGGGTAAATTTGATAGTTATATACCCTCTCTCTCGCCCTATCTTCTAGGAATGAAAGAAATGGTTCTTGGTTACTTCCAGCCTAGAAATATAGAATTATATTCGCCATGGTTCGCCAAATGTTTGGAAAAAACCATCTGTGTTCGGCTATTTGGGCCCGGCAACTTCGGCAATGGAGAAGTGTTGCCGAAGATTGAATTAAATTTTTATCAATCTCATATGTATGTGTAGTTACAGTACGACTATCACTGATATCAGATATGAGACTTTCCCCCCTCCCCCCCCCCCGGATCTCCTGAAATGTTTCCATCGTTCGTTTGATGAGTTCTAATGTTGACGGAAATTATTGGTATCATAACCGCAAAGTGCCAAGAGTGAAATTAGCGTGGAGTCTGGGCTAACAGCCTGAGGGCTATTTTCGTCGTTTATACCCCCCATGTCCAAAAAAAAAAAAAAAAAAAAAAAAATGTCTTAAGTCAAAGTCTACAACCAAGCCCCTCAGATAGAAGTTCTCCCGTTAAAAACTAGGAAGCTTCCCTAAAGTTCATGACGTGGTGAGTTTAGCAAGTTCCCGATATCCCGGAACTGGCTAGATCGATGAACTTTCTCTGCACTGGTTTGGTTCTCCTTCTGAAACCACCTTATGAGCCAGAGCTCCCAAACGCTCAACGTCTGGATGAATAGTTTTCCTGGAGAGCATGAGTCAAATAAGGATTATATATACGAGGCTGCGATTTGGATTACCGAAGACTTCTCGTTCTGGTTCTCCACGACTTTTATCAACATTCGCAAGTCCTCATCTCGCTGGCGAAGAGCCCGACTTTTACGGAGTAGGTGGTTTCCATCGTGTTGCGCTTGGAGACACCTTTGATGATGGCAGATACCGTATCCTAAGGAAGCTCGGCTATGGGCAGTATTCCACAGTGTGGCTTGCTAGAGATTCCAAGTACGCCGGTTATTCTTGTGCTTTTGCATGATACAACACATGCTCATCCAGACTGCAGGCATCAGAGATATGTGGCCCTTAAAATACCGAGAGCCGATTGTTACGGTGGTCCTGAGCGAGTTCTCCTCTCGAAGATCACCGAAACCTGCGCAAGAAGCAAACACGAGGGTCGACATTTCATCTTGCCCGTCCTGCATCAATTCAAACATGCAGGCCCAAATGGGGTGCATGTTTGCTTCGTTTTTGATGTTCTTGGACATCATCTGTATTTCCAATGCTCAAAGTATGAGGACGGACGACTTCCTGTGCGATCCGTAAAACTAATCGCACGTCAGCTTCTCCTTGGGCTTGACTTCCTTCACACAGAGTGTGGTGTTGTCCATACCGGTACGGTAAAATATATATTGATATATATATATCAAATTAACCTATTTTTTTTTTATAGAGCCACGGGGACTAACATCTCTCCAACTCATGAGTAGACATACACCCGAAGAATATCCTTTTAGGACTGGAAAACCCACACGAAGCAATTTCACGGCATCTATCGGAGGTCTCTCCACGGACAGATACTCGGTCTGGTGAAGTATTACCGCTTCGGGAAGTCATGAAAATTCCGCCAATTTCTGAAATCAAGGAACCTCACATTAGGATAATTGACTTTGGCGTAGGTGAGGAAGTTACAATATTTTTCTGATTTCTTGATTTTATATCTGTCCCTCTCAATATTCCGGCGAGGAAGCTGATTTTCAAAATAGCTACGTGCAGACACGAACATCACTCACATAAAATTCAACCACCAGCCTTACGAGCACCGGAAGTGACAATAGGAGCCCCTTGGGACGCAGGAGTGGACATATGGAGCGTCGGATGTCTTGTTAGCAAACCTCTTCTTTCTCTATACATAAACCCGTTTACGACTTAATCATGACAATGATCATTTTTGCAATAGATCGTGGAGTTTATGCAGGGAATAGTGCTTTTCTCAGGACAAGAATCAAAACATGGAGATTGGACAGCTGATGACGACCGATTAGCAAGGACGATTGAGGTCCTCGGCGCATTTCCTGCTGAATTTCTCAAGAAGGGAAACCGTACAAGAGAATTCTTTAATGAACATGGTACACATACCCAGATCTGGGTGGCTATCATACCAGTTCTATGTATTGATGCAACTTTTGCTACAGGGACTCTTCGAAGAATTGCGAATTTGAATCCCACCACTCTCGAAAGTATTATCGATGGACAAGAATCCCCTTTCTTAAAACCAAACGACATGCCTCATGCGGAGGTACCAATTTTTATCGATTTTCTTAAGGGGATGCTTGCAATTAATCCCGATCATCGACGGTCAGCAGCTGAGTTACTGAGACATGGTTGGTTGAAGCAGTGATGTTCCTTAAGGTATGGAGAAGCATGTAATAATGGGCTGTGGCCCAAAGCGGGGATACTCTGCTCGTTTTTGGAGTTAATGAGTGCGAAAATAAATTTGTGACTTGTTATCTCACAAAATGCCCAGCTGAAATCTCGAGGAGAATGAACTGACGTTATCATAAAACTATGCTCTATAATTACACTGAGTTCTCATGGAATTCATGTTGCTAACTTGAAGCATTATACAACTCGTCCCAAACACCGCATCTCACGTCCACATCCTTGGAATCTATGGTTGCCAATACCTTTCTGTCTTCATCGCCTGTTCCTGTTCTTGCACCACCGCCAAACACTCCGAGTCGAGGAACTTTCTCCCATCCCGGGCCCTTATTTGGATTCTTGGCAAAATTCGCCCAAGCCTCCTGCATCCCCTTTCCAACTTCTATCTGGAACTTCGTGGCCCCTTTTTGAGGATACGTTCCAAAGATCGAATAGACTTCCAATCCATGATAGGCTCCGCCTCCCTCGGCTAGCTCAGTGTTTGGAAAGCTCGCGTTAAAATAGTATCGCCATACATCAATTCCCGCGGCTGCGCTGTCATCTGTGTCTAACCTCGCTGGGCACTGGAAGGAAAAGTCAGTAAGGATGGCAGACAGACGATGGGATTCATCGCTAATTCCTGGGGAACCAATAGGGTATGTATTCAGGATGTTTTGAATAGTCTTTTCAGGAACGCCCAGTAAATATCCACGGAGGAATCCCTCAGTGTCATTCATGCCTGCTGCGAAGGGAAGAGCTTCGTCAGCGTTGCTTCCCATCAACACCGGTACACGCGCAATAAGTGATTTCTGATCGGCGGAATCGAGACGCCTTTTGCGAGGAGAGTCTGCCCAGGTGACACCACCATCAGGTGTCGGTCCAAATACTAGCTGTTGCCGTTCGATGATTTCTTTCAACTCCAAGGCAGGAACTGCGCGAACACATTCGAGAGCGTTTTTTAAGGAAGAGCATTTAGTCACGTCCAGGAGCTTTTTCCATGCGACAGCGGGGTCAGGGTCGAGAGCCCTTATCGTGGACTGGCCAGATTGCATAATTGCAGCGCGGAAGGGAACAGGTTCAGGCGGAGCGGTAATTAGACCATCGACGCTCCCTCCTCCTGCGCTTTCTCCGAAAATTGTTATTTTCTCTGGATCCCCGCCAAAGGCTGCGATATTACGTCGAACCCAATCCAGGGCGAACCGTTGATCCAGTAATCTGGAACTCATATAATTAGATTTCAACTTTCTATTTCTTGACGAATTTGAAACTCACCCCAAGTTCTTCTCCGCTGCTGGTAGCTCAGGGGATCCAGGGAACCCAAATAGATTTGTCCGATAGTTGATAGTTACCACCACAACATCTTGATTAGCAGCCAAGCTGGAGCCGTCGTAGAGGTGCAAAGAGCCAGACCCAAAAAAGTAAGAGCCTCCATGTATCCAGACCATCACGGTCTTGGGGCTTCTCTATGAGGACGCTGGAGCAAAAACATTGAGATTTAGACAATCTTCGCTCTCTCCAGCGGGAGGCGGAGGCGTGTTGAACCACCTGATTGACTCGTTGCGCACTGCTTCCGGGTAATTGAACTGCTGGAGACAAGCGGGCTTGTATTTGAAGGCGTCATACGTCCATCTCCATGGCGTGACTGGCGGTGGAGCCTTAAATCGAACAGGAGGCGCAGCAAAGGGAATACCGAGGAATTTATTGACGGAGCGACTGGAAGATGGAAGACAGGCGACAGTCCCCGCAATAGCCCCAGAGTCTATGGTAACCGTAGGTCGACTTTTCGGGTTATGACAAGGAGTTGAGCTGGCAGTGAGCGCGTAGAGAAATGTAGTAAGAAGTAGGACGGAAAAATACATGGCGTTTATTTTGGATTTTGATAATTAACTGAGGGCTTGGAGGAGCGCAGCCATGCCCCAAGATATATATATATATATATATATATATATATATATATTGCGAGCCCTTTATATGTGAGGCCATAAGGTCTCAATCGAACTGGAAATCTGTCGAGAATTTTACCCTAAACGAGTCAATCCTCTACGTGGGACTCCTCTTTTCTTGGAGAAAACTTCAGCTCAGCTTCAAGCCCGAACAAACTTTCACATCCTCTTTGAGGCATCGGAGAGCTGAATCAAGTACATGCTAACCCTCTGCATAGAGCGATCCTTATGCGCCCGGTTCGGAAGGGATCGCATGGCTTAGGTCCGCTTGTTCTTGTGGATCCGCGTATCTTGAGGATAAAATCCGCCTCGGCTGAGATGCGCTGGTATATCAGCATCGTGTGCCAAACAGTCCAGCCTGTCACTTGTGAGACCCTGTGTCGCGGTTGATTTTAACGTCTTGACAGCCAAGCTCCTGCTGATATCTGTTGTCCAGCATTTTTGCTCCCACTTGAGTTGGTGAGTTACTCAATTATTAATTCCTAGGCGGCGGTATGCAAACAAATCTGTCGTGAAAACTGGATTGCCATACTAGCTAATGGCATCAGAAACCGCTTCCTCGCAGGACATCTTGGCTACACAGATGATGTAACAGCGCATACGTGCTTCGAGGCTGTAACATTGCATCGCCATGCCATTCTCTCCACAGCTCGATGGATGCGTGGGGGGAGGTGGTATTGTGAGATAAAGCCGAGCTCTCTATTTAAGTTACCTTCGCTGATCCTCTGGAATAAAAGATCTCCAAAATTTAGAAAACATATGAAAGTCCGGCGGCCTAGTGTAAAGCTTTTTCGAATTCCTAGAGAACCATAACTAGCGATCTCAAAGTCATGGCTTCTCGGGCTGCTTCTTTTTCGCGACCGTAAGACTCCCCTTTCAACAGTCAGTAACGAAGTGGAGTATGTTTTAGGCAAACAAGGACACACAATCTTGTCTGGTGTACTGCCATTCCAGGAATGTTTTTCCTGTGTCTTCTCATTCCGAGGGTACGAATGCTATTTCATTTCTACCTAGGGATGGATGTGCTGTATCGCATCAACATGTTTCGACGACATCAGCCCGGATGGCGCAACGCGCTTAGCGTTGCTGGTCTTTAGGCAAGCAGGACCATGATCAGCCGCTATTAGCTGGCAAGGGCCTCCCTAACAACAGGAAATAAACAATATCAACACCCCATGTCGGTGAATGACCTAGCAATATTTGGAATAAGCCCATCAATCACTGGCTCGGTACCGGCTTCTGTATTCTTCCAGCTTATCCATATCCTCCTTGTTGCCTTGGGTTCCCATTAACGTAATAAGATCCTGCAGCGTAACAATACTTGCAGTTGGGACGCCAAATTCTTGTCTAATCTGACCCATGGCACTCATCCTCGGCTCATCGTCGGTTTCAACACCTTTCGGCCCGGGCATTTTCTCCTGTCGGTCAAGCGCAACTACAAAGCCCATCACTTTACCGCCTTCTGTTTCCACTAACTTTAACGTCTCTCGCATCGCAGTACCGGCGGTGACCACGTCGTCTATGACAAGAACGTTCTTCCCCTTTAACGGGGATCCCACTATGCTCCCACCTTCTCCGTGATCCTTGGCTTCCTTGCGGTTGTAGCTGTAGGAGACTGAGGACCATGTCGCCGGGTCCATACGGTGAAGTTCAAGCAGCGTTGCGCACGCGAGAGGGATTCCTTTGTAAGCAGGCCTTAGGAATTCTCCAATCAGTAATCTTACGGCTTCTGCGATCGGTATCAAAAGATTTATGTGCTTGCTTACCCGAAGATTACATCGGGCTTCGGAATAGAAGGATTGGAGGCGAGGTAGGAAACGATAGTGTTAGCGTAGGCGGTAGAAATAGCGGAAAGGAGTGACGATGTATGAAAGAGGCCCGCATTGAAGAAGTAAGGCGACTCTAAGCGCCGTATATATCAGCAATTGGCAACTCATGCGTATCAATCATGCTGAGAGTAAAGTATATACAGACTTCGCCCGGATTTAAGGGTGAAAACCCCGAATTTCAGCACATTGGCGGAGAGACAGGACTCAAGGAAAGTCGTTTTATAGGCAGGAAGGGGAGAGCTTGTGGACTGTGCCGAATACATTGTAGCAATTCCCGCTGGGTCCTCCGACTTGTTAGATTAATGTTAAATTCAAGTTCATATCATCAGCGCAAAAAAACGAGGGGAGAGGGGTGTTGGTGACTAAGCAGATCTGATAAAGTCAACCTGGGCGACTCCAACCATCTTTTTTCAAGATCTGATTTTCCATTTTGATGACTCTGGGAAACATTCATCTGAATGGGAATGGAGTGGATCGCCAGTATTAGAGCAACCGGGTCACATCACAGAGGGCATTTTCATCCTCCTCAAACTTGCACGGAGAGGTTTGCGGCTAGAGGGTGATTGCAACTCTTCTTCCCCTTGGAAGAAGAACGAATGGCTGCACACGAGTAATTGTCTATCGAAAACTCTCAAGGTTATATAAAGCTTCAATCGAGTCAACCACATCGTAAGGTTTACTCGAAGCACATCTGAAAAACCAAAGATTGAAAAGGAGCGGATTGGAATCCTAGTGAGTATTCAGTTGATATCGACAACACCTACAGAGTAAACTGCTAAATTTTCGTCAGGCCCAAAATGGGAACTCCTGCGCCCCGAAGTCAACACCTGAACATGGTGCGCGCCGTTGTGCTTTGAAGAAGACTAACTAGGTCTTAGCTAAACACCGGGTCCAAGCCAGCTACTATTCTTAAATTTTCTAGCTAAGAGTCAATGGTCGTTTGGCTCTAAACTAAGTACACCTACGGAGTATTGCCCGGACGTCACAACTCCACTAAATCAACCCCTGGCAAACGCTGGTGTAGACAAACTGCCTAAGTTTCAGTTTCTGCCAGCAAAAGTTTAGCGCTTCGCAAAGAAACAGAACCCGTGTCAGACGTCAAGCGCCAGCCTGATTGGCCCACGCAGTCAAACTGGTCAGGGCATGGATGGGGGACGTGCTGTCAATCGATGTAGCAAGAAAAAGCAATTATGGACACAACATTTCATTTCGTTCGGGAACAGGCGCGGGGAGTTCCTTCTGTGGATTCTCTCAATCCTACTCTTTTGTTAATGACACCAGCGGTTTTGTTTTATTTTCGTCATCCTACTCAATATGGCATTTATTGGATTTTCGACGACCTTTAAGAAATGTATGCATTTCCAAACACCGCTTAAAACTAGCACGTTTTTGCTGACTGCCTAAGCATGATGCCAGATCTCGACGTTGTTGGGAATCACCATGTTTTGATGTTTCTTTTGCTTGTTCCAATTGTATTTCTATGTATGTTTCGTCGCCCTTCCTCTTTCTTCCCTCTTTGTATCTGTATGGAGCGAAATATTGAATTTTCTTTCCAGCGGTTCTTGTCGCAGGCTGCTCGAACTCTGCTCTCATTAACGTTTATTTAATATCGTTATCATACGCTACGAATATCACCTCTTCGCCGCTTCAGGATGAACACCCAGCAAAGCTTAATCCAAATATACCAGGGATATTCGCAAATTTAACCACCGGAGCGCGAAATAATGCAGATTCGTTTGAGATCAGGACAGGATATCTGAGCCATTGCTTGAAGCAAGCCTCAGGGCTCTGGGTTTGTGCTCGAGACATACAGCCGCTAGCAAAAGTCATCAGTGACCAAAAAACATCGAATATCGACCCGTTAAATCTGATATATATGTCCAAGGCCTTCAAGGATCGGATGGTTTTCAGCGGCCTAATGTAGGAGTCGCCCATATTCACTCTCATCGCATGCGCTCTCCAAGAGCAGCCATCCCATGCATCGATAATTCCTCGTGGGGAATTCACTAATTTGTCAACATAGATTTGCATCTATTCCGTTTCTATTCGTCTGTTTCCTGCTTCTCGCGACCTTTCCCACCTGGCGAGATGACGTTGATTCGAATGGCAGCGAAGTTCAGGTCAAACCATTTCCCTCAAAGGTGATGTCTCGTGTCACGACTGTCTTAGTGGGGCTTGCTTCCTTGTTAGCCTTTGTATCTATATTTTGGCAGCATATATCGAGCTCCGCAAGTGTTACCATGCATGAGGAGCTCTATTATGGCGTCGTCAGATCTCACAGCGGAGTAGTCGCTATGATACTTGGCTGGGGTGGAGTTTTTGCTGCTTTTCTTGCTGTCTTAGGGTTGGTTGTCATGCTTGTGAGCTTAGACCTTGTAACAAAGCTTAGCGATTAGTGATTTGGCGTGATTTTATCTCTTGTTTACGCCGTTTCATTTCGTTTAGTCAAATCTTTTAAGTCAATATATGAGTTATGCTGGGACAACTAGTCTGGGAATTTTTAAGCCCGATGGACTCTGAGAATGCAATGTTTCAAGCTATGACCTAACAATCTATTCAAGAACATGATGATAAATAAGTAGAAATGCTCTTGTTCGCATGCAACTTGTTGAACAAAAGGTATATACTGCGAACTGCAAGAGCCAGTATTGTCAACAAAACAATGAAGACAGTCACAGCCGCTTTCATTCCTGGCGCCAGATCCCTGGTCCAAATGACTGAAAGTAGTATTGCCAGCGATAGAACGATAAAAACAGTCGCCGTTGGTTTTCCATGGTTCTTTAAAAATTCTGCAATGCGATCCTGGTTCAATGCAATCAGAATAAAAGGGATGGATATTGCCCCGGATATGCTGACTGCTAAGTATGTTAGATACGTAAAGGACGATCGATTGTAAAAGGCACAGGAAATTTTTGCATACACATGTATCTCAAGACGTAATCCATTGGGAGCTTATCTCCTTTATTCCAAGGGAAAGAATCGATATTTATGGCGAAAAACGCAGCCATAAACGATAACGGAAGCTGAATCTCTCGATTAATTTTCAGATCGCATTTGAAGCGCGGCAGAGGAGTTCTCACAAATATGATAGTGACCACGGTGAAAACTAGCACTGTTCTGCCTTGCCGTATGGATTCATCTGCTTGCTGGCGGGCAAGGTTAGCATTCTCCAGACCCCGCTCGGTAAGGTCCTTGGTTGCTCTTGCTTGGTGCGAGGCATTTTCGGCCTGTTTACGTGCGGACAATGCTTCAGCGACATTATTTTGTTTTTGCTTCAAGTCGAGAAGATTATAGAGCTACGATATATTAACATGGGGATATCATTTAGTCTGCTTTCATGCACTTACGGCTTTGGAAGTCTGGTTCGCGAGCCGTTACATTTTTTCAACCCGATATAGATGGCCCTCCAGAACTGGAAACCGTACTGGTGAGGAATGGTCATCACTTGGATTTGCATTTTTGGGTTTCTTGTGCTCAACCAAATATTTGGAAAACTCCTCTATAAGTATTGTCTGATCGCTTAGGATCATGTGTAAAATTCCAAGTTCGTCGATGATGTCTTTGATTTCGACAAGCAATTTTGTTTCAGCGCTGATGCTGAAGATCTCTGAGCTGGGCGTTTTTCGCCGGTTTGATTCAGGCAGTATCTTTGCAAAGTCCCCAAAACATTTCGTTTCTTGGTCAATCTAGTTATTTATGCTAGTTAGTTTGGACGACTCTCTCAGAAGGCATGAGAAAGCCACCACAGTACCAATAAATCGTTCGAAGAAGTAAAAAAACTGATACTCATCCGGGACCCGATACTCATCAAATAAACATATACAAAAGCTGGTAATGAGCTGCGCTAGATCGTGAGCTGATCTGAGAGGGTCACGCATTTTCAACCCAATGTGGCTAAGTTTCATTTGGTGAACGTTCAAGGGGTCGCGTTTAAGCAATGCCAAACGCTTCTTTTCAATAGAGGACCGGCCGTTGCTACTGACCTGATATCGGCGATGCAGTTCCTCGTTAATTACTGACGCCCTCCATCGTTCTGTTCTAACATGCGAGTCCCTTCTGCTAAATCCCGATTTCTGTTTTTTCCTTGTCACCCAGTCAAGCATAAATCCCGAATCATTCTTGTTTTTATCCTTCCTCTTACCATGGCTAAAGTGGTCATGCCCCTGTTCACGCCCGTGAAATTGTGAACGATTAGCTCTGGTATCAGTATCCCGAAACGGCGGAAGGTCCAAGATGGATGGATCAACTGGAGAAGTTTCGAATTCAATGTCGGCTGCTGGTGGAGGTTGACCAGACCAGACATCCCATCGCTGTGGAAAACAGCTTATAACAGTATCTGAAATTTGGTCAGCTCTTTGAACAAAATTCAAATAAAGACATTAGGTAAGTGGAGGTAGGTAATTACTGTCGTTCAGTATCCAGAGCCACAACTGATCTACCATGAAAATCTTAGACTCTGCAGAATTCTTTAACGTGTATCGATAGACTACCTGGTTGCGGTCTCTTGCAGCAGTATCGGTGAGATGGGTATAGAAAATATTGATCAAGCGTTCTTCTTAGGGGAAGGGGTGAATCTGTAGGGCTCAGTGGAGACAAATACCCTTTCACGAGGTGCTCGTCGAAGGGTATACCAGGTTTCGTGCCTTCAGATTTAGTTCTATTTGCTGTTGCATCTGCCGGTTGGCCGTCATCCCCAGGAATATCAAAAGTAGTTCCAGCTCCGGTGCCTCCGGACACAGCATTAGCAGGGACGTCGACTCCCTCAATTTTATCACCATCAGTCCCAGGGAGAGCAATATTTTAGTTCGCGGCGGAATCATCCTCGGCGTGGAGGTCCAGAGTCGCATGTGCCTTTCCTTGCCGGCCAATATGAGTCGAAATATCCCTAGCTTTCGGCCAGGGTAATTCGCATTTTCAGACAGATAATTTTGCGAATGGGTTTTTGCAATATTGGTGCTTGGGGATGGTAACGGTTCGGCAACCCGGGGGCTTATTGTATTCCTTGCTGGGATATCGGTGCCTGGTCGGGTTAAATCTTCCATATGGAAATAATTTCGCGTATCACTGCTTGCTCTATTGATTGGAGGAATTTTCGGATATCCTGTCTTGTCTTCTTCTATTTTGTCTGCCGGTGTCGACTCCATAGATTCTTTATTTTCATTACTCACATTTCCCTCACCAGAATCGATATTTTAAAACCCATATTCCTTGCCAAGCTTTGTTCGCTCTGCCTCAAGTGCGTCGTCCTTTTCTGCGGTTTGACCGTCATCCTTAGCACTTGTTGTACCCCCGCCTTTTTCTAGGTCGTCTTCGTGGTCTGATGATTTTCGTGGTGGCTTAACGTGACCCGACTTTTGGAGAATTTTACTTCCGAGAGTACGAATAGTTGCCAGTATACCCCCCCCCCCCCCCCCGTGAAAAATGTTCCAAGAGTGAGAAGGCTCCTTGGTGTCTTCTGGACTGGAGTGGGATTGGCTGTCTACAACGGTCTTAACTGACCTTTTATTGACTCCCCGGCCTCCTGGCCGCGCGCAGGAAGTTCTTGCTCTCGCCCCGGGTCTGATTCTACCATGGCGAAATGGCGATATTTTTGAAGGCTGTCGTTCACTGTCGTGTACAGCTCCTTCCCTCCTATTCTTCTCTCTCGTTAAAAATGCAGCCATTCGTTCGTAGCCAGTATGGGTTTCGAAGTGGAGAAACGGAACCTGCCAGGGACTTAGTAAATGGGTTCAAGAGCTGCGGCAATCATCTGGCTTACGAATAGCATGAGTTGATCTGCTTGGTCGTTTCCTAGAAACAAATCAGGGGACTATAATTCAGATATTAGTAACTGGAGTAAACGGCAAATATAAAGGAGTACTGTTATACCTTGATTGTTCGGCACAATGGCCTCATATAAGATGAAAGAGTAGAGGAAGCTCTATACTGTTGGCCAATCCCATTAACCAGAGCTAGTTTAGATTTCGATTCTTCTCTTAGTACTATCGCGCCCGACTCCCTTTCGCCAAAATGTCGGCTAACTAGAATCTGTTGATTATTAGTATCTTGAGTCTTAGTTTTAGACAACTAGGAACGATGGATACTATACCTCAACCCATTCAATCTACAAAATAGTTAGCATATAGTATATTGCACTTATTTGCGGGTAGGTGATACCACCTAAAGCTTGCTGGCTTGTCCATCTTAGTTTTTTTTGCGGAATTCATAATTGCTTCCGGGCCTTTCCCGTAAAGCATGTCATCGATCCTCTTCTCCGTTCCTTCAAGAATAAAGTCAATAATGGTATCTTGAAATCCCTGGCAAGAATTGAATTTGTCGGTCTCCTCAGTTGGAAGAGATGGAACTGTATAGTGGATTTCCGGTTTCGCCCTGCCCCTTTCAATTGGCGGGCCATGCAATACCCTATCCGATCGAAGCAATTCAAGCATATGATCGCTCTTTGATAATTTGTCCACTGTTTCGCCATTATCATCACGTAAATATTTATTGGCGCCATTATCTAGCAAGAATTCAATGATCTCCAAATCGTCGTGCATCACGGCACTGAACAATAGAGTGTGTCCATCCGGAGTTAATGCGTCGATATTGGCTTTGTTTCTGAGGAGGGCCAAGGCAACATTGGCGTGTCCATTTAGAAGGGCCTGGTGAAATGCTGTATATCCAGTTTCGTCATTGTGCGATTCGACATCGGGGTTGAATCGCAATAAAAGGTTGACAAGGGCTTGACTTCCTAGCTCCGCCGCAATATATAAAGGCTTGCTTCCGTCACGACTGGCACTTTCCGCGTTGGAACCGGCGCCTTGAGCAGAAGTTCTGCCAGCAACTCATGATCGTTTACCACCGCTAGGTGAAGAGCTGTGAGTCCATCGCTGTTTACAGCTCTCAAATCAACACCATTGTCTAGAAGGCGCAACAGCTCGTCTTCGTTGCCTTCACTCACGGCCTCAAGAACTCGTAGACTCTCAGAATCGAACTCGTGTTGCACACCATACTCGTTTAGAGGTTCGCCTGTCAGTTTAAAATGGATATTTTCCTGGTCACTATGAAAAAGATTGGAAGGGCTATCCAGATTGAAAGTAACATCCTCCACTCGATTTCGCTCTCTGATGGAAGAGTCTTTCGAGAGTTCTCTTGTTCTCGAATGGAGCTTTCATTTTTGCATTGAGCAGCACGAGTACATCAGGCTAGCATGATCAGGTTAACAGCCCGACCAGCGAGCGAACCAGCCATTGCAGCTTGCGGCAAGTGGGCAGGATCTTTCTGGCTTCGTGGTCATTGGTCATATCCACACTTTCGATATTTTGGCGACAACGGAGAATTCTGATTCTGGCGGGCTGAAGCGTGCTGAAGCGTGCTGATTCGAGGGGAATATCTTCTTCCCCAAGGCTCGTGCTCCATTCAAAGCGATGCCACGTCTCTTCTGGCCCTAACTTGATTAGTTAAAGCATCCTTGTTTGTGTAACGTACTCAACCACCCAACGCTCGCCATTTCACCACCACTATGATGAAATCTTTTCAACAATATCTCAACAACGCAATTAAATTTTAATATTATATATTATATGATGAAAATATATATAGAAAATTACGTATAGAAATATATAGCTAATTCAGAAAATATTTGTTGAACTTAATAACTCATTCAGAACATAAAATTTTGAATGAAGACAGATTCAATGAACAGACAATCATCAAATCAATAAAAATTGTGATAGTATCAGAATTCTTCAGCAGCAGATCTGTGGACACTCTGATCTTGTTCTGAAAATGTGATTTAATCACTTTTTACAAAATTGAAAATCTACTTTTCTGATTAGAAAAATGATTTTTAAATTCTTCAATTTTAATTTTATTTAATTATGACTGCTACTGTGCAGATTTTAATTTTATTTAATTATGATTGCTACTGTGCAGAAACTTGTTCTTTCTTTTGTTTTTATTTTTAAATTTTTCTTACATTTTTAAACTTTTTTTCAATTTATTGTTGAACATCTTTTACAACTTTATTTATCTTTTTTTATTTTTTTATTGTTTAACGAGCTGTCTTCTGCTTCATTCATTGTGATATGATATCTGTGTTTTTTTATTTTTTAAAAATAATATGTTGTAATTTGACATTCTTTTTACAAATCTATTCATTTTTTTTAATAATTTTTATAACAATCATCTACTTACAGATGCTCTGTATTTTTATTGATGAAAAGAATTATATTAATGATGAATTTAAAAAATCTAACAATCTCATTACTCTGTTATATTTATGATGTCTTTTTTCTTGATTAAGAATTTATTGTAGTTGTCTGTTTTCTATTAAAAGAATTTTTTTATCAAGAACAAGATTTTTCTTTACATAGATCATTCAATGAAAATTATGAAAAATTTGATATTGTTATTATTTAATTTATTTTATCAATTTCTATATATCAACAATAGAAGTAAAGATTCGAAGTTTAATATTGATTTGAAGAGATGTAAAAATGTATTGCAAGCTTTTTAAAAACCCAGTTTAAATCAAATGAATATAGATCAATTACTGCAAATATAAATATAATATTTAAAGATGTAACTGTTTCTTTTCATATTGCATCAAATAATTGTCAAAAAAATCCCTTTATAATATGTATAACTCTCATTTCAGTTCTCATCTGTTTATTTAGTTGATTTGAATATGATTTATTTAATGATTTAAATATTTCAACATTCAGTAGCTGTAATCAGTAAGTAGAATGAAGAAAAAAAACAGCAAATAAAATTCAATGTGAAATCATATAATTGATGAATGTTATATTAATGTGAAAGAAGTGATCATTCAATATAAAAAGTTTATACCCACACTTTATTTTCTTTTCTATATGAGATTTAAAGATCTTTTTTAATCATATTAATTTATATTCATCATTGCTTCATTCATTTTCTGCTGCAGCAAAGTAAATCTGATTCTTTTCACTATCAAAATTTTTCAATATAATATCTTGCATATTTTTTGATTTTTCTTGATATATAAAAACAGATAAAAGTGAAAGTGAAGTTTCATCTATATAAATTGAAATCAATAATGTAATGAATTTGTGATTGTCATTTTGACTGACATTTATTATATGATCTGACTTAAGTGAATTAATTAATACAATACATTTGAGGATGTGGATGAGATTTAATAGAAATTCTTTTTCATCAAAATTATAGATATTCATAAATTCAATGTTGTATTTGATGATTTTTTTCTATAACTGCAAATCAATATAAATTAATAAGATAAAAGTAAAAAAAAACAGTAAAAGAAAGCAATCTTATACAAAATCAAAATAATGTTTGAAGTATGTAGAATTATCTGCAATTTTGCATTTTTGATTCATATTTATAAATAAATTAATTTGATTACATTCTTGTGATGTTGACAGAACTGTGACACTCAGTTGATTTTTACAGATGATTTTAGAATCTCAATAACAAGATTATGAAGAATTTGAAACATACAAAAGAAACTGTGATCTGACAATCAATTAATATGAAAAAGAAGCTGTTCTTCTTGTGAATTTGAGAGATTTTTGCAATGAATAGAGCTTGCTTTCTTTCTTGACATTTGAATGTCATTGTAATGCTGTGATAATGTATGTCAACTGATTCCATATTTTTTAGTAGTTTCAGTATAATTAGGGGTCAACTGTGAGTGTAAATCATCAATTGCTGCCTCTATAACTGCTTTGTGGTGCATGTTGTGGGTGTTTGAAGATGGATGAATTTGGGAGATTTGGGTGAGCATTGGGTGGAAACAAGCGTTGGGTGGTTGATTATGTTAGGTAACTTAGTTGGTGTTGTTCCCCACATTCTGCTGCTCATTGTCGCTGTTTCTTGAATTGTCGTAATTCAAGGAGTAGCGACCAATTTTTGAGACCAATACCGCATCAATATAACCTCCAATAACCAGACAGGCTGAACTATTTGTCCGCCCTTCGACATTTCAGCCCACAGGCAGATGGAGAAACCCACATGATGTTGATATCCGGGTTCGGGATCGGAGGGAAGGGAAAATATATTTTGTCCAGCGATCAGAATGGGAGTCTTAGCCCCCTATAGAATGTTCGCGGGGACATCCTAAATATCGAGTTTCTTGAGCAGAAGCTAGGCCAACTCTTTCGCCGCGACCTCTATATCTACCCGATCAAACTGCTCTTTTTTCCCTCTTATATCGCGGAGGATAGCTCCGGCACGATAGGATGGCGGCCCATGCTCCAGAAGCCCCTGACTTGAGAATGACTATCAGCCTCGCAGCTGTCCAGCGCAGCACTGGAATTTTTAACCGCTCTGCAACTACTGACAAAGTATGTCACCTCATCCACGAAGCTGGAGAAAGGGAGCGGATGTTATTCGGTTCCCTGAAGGCTTTATCTTGTGCTCCCATCCCGGGTGACAACGCTCCCATCCCTTTACCCCGGGACTTTTTCCACGAAACTGCCCAGGTTCCCGTTGCTGGTAGTTAAGTACTATTCAAGCGGCATGTCGAGATGTCAATATATCTGTCGTTGTGGCATAAACGAGAGACACGTTGGTAGTACCTCACGCTTTTCAGTACACAATTAATATTCGGACAGGATGGTCAGTTATTGCACAATCATCCAGAGTACATGCCAACCACTTGGAGAGCGGCTTATCCACGACCCGGAAACCACGGGAAATAAACCGTCCGTGGAAACCAGCTTTGGCTGCTAGAGAACTCATTTGTGAGCACGGGGACCCCCTGGCTATTTATTCCCTCTCTCGATAATCCGATCGTGCACATAGCCTCATGGCAGCCAACTTCGGCCGGGAATCATCCCAGCCAATATGCAGAGGAACAAGAGGACTGACTGGCAACATCTCTATCTACTGATGATTTCGCTGATTCTGAAATACGCGACCTGCTACCAAGTATGCCAGAAACCATTACCAACAGGAGCTCTTTGCTTGCGGGCGTACAGTTGAACGTGGTTAATAAAAAGTTGAACATGGTTAATTTTTCGGGCCGGAATAACCTTTGGCGTGGTTTTGACCATAAACCATGTCAACCTCCCCATTAAAACTACATACACTAGTCATGTCTAATACATATCTCACACATCTTCAAATGCATTGGGCACAGTGATTTTATCTCATTTCTCAAAGCTCTATCTCTTAATCAATATTAATCACTAATTCTAGCTTATAACTGCTTTTCAGATATTGAAGTGTCTCAGATGTTGAAGTAGAATGACTAAATGAGAGCTGATTAATAATATAGTGAGAGTGCGTAAAAGTTGTTTAATGTGTATGCATTTTAGTGAGGGGGTGAGGGGTGAGCATGGTTTATTTTTCAGACCCACTTTTTTTAAACCACATCCAACTTTTAATAAACCACGTTCAACTGTAACCTGTTGCTTGCTATATCGCGAAGAATTTCGAGAATATTATTAAGCCAATGAAGCAGCTCAGCCATGATTGTATATTTAGTTTCTGTTCCCGCCAACTTTATTTTCTTGTGTTAGATACGTATTGATTAAATGAAGGATAAATTCTATGAAACAGGTTCATATAGTTGAGCGTTAGTACAGATCGAAGCAAAAGTGTCCGTAGATGCGACATGGTTGAACAGTGACGTTGAAACCAGCCAGGAGAAAAATTACCACTCTGACATCTGCCCCTCACCACAACAATCCACGTCAAACATCAAGCGCAGCACCTCTTGTTCTACAATACCTTCGAATTCTCACCCCAATTCCAGATACCCTCGTACAGGGCGACCAGTCTTCCGTTGTAATCACATACTCCAGCAAAAGAAGATAAACACAAATGGCTGAAGCAGCCGCCGTTTACCCCCCGCTTGAAGCCAGGCCGCTCAAGAACACCATCTGCCTTTTCGATGTCGACAAGACATTGACGCCAGCGAGAGGGGTAAGTCTTTGCGCCTTTTCCCCTTCGATTCTGTCTTCACTTGATTTCTACTCCATTTCGTTATGTGGGAAAGTTTCTTGTAGTATACCAATGACTAACATATTTCGCGCTCTGTGTATTATCCAGACAGTCGCCCCCGAAATGCTGCAGCTGCTCTCACAATTAAGACATAAATGCGCTATCGGATTTGTGAGCTGCGGCCATCCCCAAAGCATACTACAACGCATCCTAACTGCATTGTAAACTTCCCAGGTCGGCGGATCCAACCTGCCCAAGCAACAAGAGCAATTAGGTTCCGCCACGGTTGATGTTACCACCCTTTTCGACTTTTGCTTCGCGGAAAACGGCCTCACGGCGTATCGCCTAGGCAAGCCTATGGCCTCCAACAGCTTCATCCAGTGGCTGGGCGAAGAAAAGTATCAGAACCTAGTAGACTATTGCCTGCGGTACATTTCCAGCGTGAAGCTGCCAAAGAAGAGGGGAACATTTGTGGAATACAGAAACGGAATGGTCAATATTAGTCCTGTGGGGAGAAGTGCGAGCACTGAGGAAAGAGATGAATTCGAGGCGTACGTGTGTCCGTCCTAATTGCGGGGAGTGACGGGGACTCACTTTGCTCGCCCTTCCCACCCTCCACCCCCCTGGTGAAAACGGCCTTTTATATTTTCTTATTTTGGGACTAATAAGGTTGACCAGGTATGACAAAATACACAACATCCGCAAGACCCTGGTGGAGTCCTTGAGAAAGGAATTTGCCGATTACGGCCTCACGTAAGTTTCTGCGCACTTCATCCAGCTTAGACCTCTAATCCACTCTCCTAACATCTCCTTCCGTACCTAGCTTCTCAATCGGCGGCCAAATCTCGTTCGACGTGTTCCCCACTGGCTGGGACAAAACATACTGCCTCCAACACGTTGAGGCAGAGAAAAACATCAGCGGTGTCGAGTACACCACGATCCACTTCTTCGGTGATAAGTGCTTCGAGGGGGGGAATGATTATGAAATTTACGTAGACCCTAGGACGATTGGACACGAAGTCACGGACCCGGACGACACGATGAAACAGCTAAGGGAGATCTTTGGGCTATAACGGAAAAGAGACCAGGGGTTCACCAGCTGAGGTGTGTGCAGGAAATGGGGAGGGGAAAGAGGATTTATGCAAAATATCAAATAGAGGCACGTTTTTACTAGACCAGCTACACAAAAACGATGACTATTTAGCGAGAATATTGGCCCTGTTTCCTCCATGCTCTTGATGTGATGTTCCGCTGTCTTACCTGAAAGGGGAGAGGGCGGGAGAACACAGTGTACGACCTGATATGTTTTGCAGCATTTTAGATATGACACGCTGGGGAGCATCGGAATTTCTCATTTCAATATCAAAGCCACAGGAACATAGAATCGCAGAAGAAAGTCATGCATAGATTGAGATATATATGCTTCATAGTGCCTCCTAACTTTGTCTTATATTTTCCTGGCCGATTGCTACGAATATCAGGAACTAAGCCCAGAGAACAGCAGAGTTCGGAAGACCAAAGAACCATCTCCCCATCTACTAGTAGTCTCAGGAGATGCGACAACTTCAAACCTATTGCATCCACGTTGTTGCCATTGTGGTCTATCAAGAAAGAAAGTCCCCCGGCCGAGTTTTTTTCCGGGCCGAAAACTGGCTTCCAAGGTTTCTTCGGCGGAAACTACGACAATAAAACTTCTCCTGCCTGCATCATCGTCATCTTCCACCCGCTTCACCGATCTCCTTTGTATCCCAGATCACTCTGGTGAGATACGCAACCCACACAGCCTACACGCCCCGGGTTTCCTGCACCATGAATACGGCTCCAGGCCGAAGCCACAGCTAACAAACGCTTTCCCCGCTACGCCCATATCGACAAGTCTACCATGGCGAACTCGAAGCAGGTCGTCAAACTCCCCCGATTCCTCGTCCAGCCCATAACGTGGAATGCATCTTCCTCCATTGGAAACCCACAAGCTGTGACGGTTGCATCGTCTCCCGGCCTTTCTCTGCACCTATTTGCCCCAAAACAGAAACCACTCAAAGTCCCCAACCGGCCATTACATACTTCGCCAGCGATTCCGCGACACTCCCGATCCTCCCCCCTTTCCTCTCGCTCATATCTTACCTCCATCGCCAGGACACCCCCTTCCTCGACAAATATTCCCAGCGATGTCAACTCCGCTTCAATAAGACATAATGGCGTGTATGTGGCGGTATTCAAACCTGCCCGCCGCGCATTCCACAGTACACCTGCCAACTGTCGGGATCACCATTTCGACACGCTCAAAATCGTCCAGCGACTCAAAGGCGAGGGCTTTAGCGAGGAGCAGGCAGTGGCATTGATGAGGGTGCTGAATGATGTGATCGAAGAGTCCATTCAGAATTTGACACGCACTATGGTTCTGAGAGAGGGTGCGGCTCCCCCAGCTCTTCATTTTGTCAAATCCCTCCTTTGCAGATGCTCTCCTAGGACCACTAATTCTAACTCCACTATGCATCTTCATATAGATTCCGAGCGATCCACTTATACCCAAAAAGTCGACTTCGCCAAACTCCGCTCCGAACTGTTAAACTCCGACTCCACCGAATCACAATTAACCCGAGCCTCCCACGACCGCATCGCGGGGGACATCCAAAAACTGAACTCACGCCTCCGTGACGAAATAGGGCGCACACAGGCCTCTGTGAGACTAGATTTGAACCTGGAAAAAGGCAGGATCCGCGAAGAGGCAAACGGACAGGAGATGAGAATCAAGGAGACGGAAACGAGAATCGAGCAAGAAGTTGCCGGCCTTCGCGAGAGGGTGGAGGCGGTTAAGTTTTCGACTCTGCAATGGTTGATGTATGTTCCCTTCTCACGTTTCTTTGTTTCATTTAATCATCGCGGCTTTGCTGACTTGGGATTCCTTTTGGTTCTTCCAGGGGTGTCTGCACGGGTACAGCTGCTCTGATTCTTGGTGCTTGGCGCCTGTTGATGTGAGGTGTATGTTATTACGTCTTTTCGTGAAGGCGAGTTGGGGATTTCTAGCGCCCCGATTGTGTGGGAGAAATACAATACTATTTCTCCCTTTCCGACATTCCCCATTACAGCAAAAGATAGACTTAGACACATACTTGACGACTGATATTTTCTTTTGTCCACTCGAATGATGTATACTATGAACCCAAAACCATGACAAATTCTATGGCTAATCAAATGCCAACGCAAATATTCATTTTTCACACCAAATATACCCCTGCCTTTACTTTGGATAAATGCGAGATAACATACTTTCTCATAGGAGAAGAATAACTTTAAAATCACAATCACAATGTTTCCCCGTGGCCATCATCACTAGAATCACTGCTAATAACAATCACATCAGCATTACCATTTTCGCAAGGAGCTTGAACTCCTGCCATTGGCCTCGCAGCCAAACTTTGAACTAATCCCCTCTTCCGCACCTCCTTCTTCCCGTCTGCCAAGATCGTGCACACTCGTTGCCCAACAGACTCAGCGCGCATTACTTCACCGTGCTCCTGCAGAAACATCTCAATCGCAACTGGCGGAACACCATGCCTCATTCCCGTCCGATCGTCCCAAGACGAATGCAACCCGATCAAACTCCCATCCGCTGTATTTAACAGCGGCGCGCCGGAGTGGCCCCAATACATCCAGGCATCATGCTTCAACGTGCCGATTTCCGAATTATTACACGGGTCTGCGCCAGGGACCATCCCCTTAAACGCGCCGCGCGATACCTCTACAAGACCGTAATCGGTTTTCCGGTCCGTTGCAGACTCCAGGTCCTCACTGCCAGGTTGGCCGATACATATGATCCGCATATGCACGGCAGGTTTGCAATCCGCAAGGGCCACAAATGGAAACGAAGCATCGGCATCGTGATCATGATCATTACGATTGTTATTATTTCTACTGTTCGGGCCAATCCCTGCACTGGCGCCACCTGACTCAATGGCGATGATCTTCAAAAGCGCAAGATCCCGCTTCGCGTCCCAAGCGCGACATTCGGCCTGCACGGCTCGTCCGTCATAGAAGAGCAGCCAACGGGTTTTGGGAGAGGCGAGATATTCCTCCTCCGTTTCGCCGAAGCAATGCGCGCAGGTTAGCACCCAGCCAGCTGGGTGTATGCAAACCGCGCTTCGGGCCTCATGCTGGGCGAAGATCAGGCTAGCTTCAAGCGCATTGCGGAGGTGTTGGCCCGATACTGAGGCGCGGGTGTGTGGGGTGTCGTTGGAGAGGCGGAGTTGTTTTTCACAGAGGAGTTTGCATTCTGCCGGGGAAAGGTTTGGCAGTTTTGAACCTCGGAGGATGGTGATTATTGGGTGTTCAGGTGCTGGTGGCGCATCTAAAGGAGGCCTGAGAGAGGAAGGTTGAGATATAGATTCCTGTTGCTTTGCCGCGGACCTTAGGATTCGCCTTGTATCATTCGACATACTCGACTATGTGTTGATAAAGAGCAGTTTCTAACATATTACTTTTATCCTGCAATGCAGCTCCAGGGCTTCAAATGCTGGTGCGCAATCGTGATGCTTATTCGTCCTCGTATACTCCGTAGATGGGCCAGCAAATCTCCTCCCCCGGCAGCAGCGAATTCAATCACATGATATCGTCCGCTGTCTCCAGTCGTGGGATGTCATTCAACATGTTTATAATCAAATATTACAACAACCACATAAGAAAAATAGATCAATTATATTGAGAATTATTTATTCTTGTTGGCAATCCCTAATTTTCCTTTGTCAGAAGAGTACTAGTGGTACTAAGTATAGGCTGATAAACTGATGACTGTATATTATTCTCTTATATTTGAAAGATGAAGAATGAACTGCGTTGAGAACTTGAAGCAATGGACTGGACTTAATATAGTAGAGCTAACTTAGCTATGCTTCTTATTGACAAGAACGGGCCCTAGATTACCTAGGTAAAGTGTGGAGGCCACGCATTTTGAAGAGGTCACCTTGTCCTTGCGTGGTGATGCGGGTGTAATGCAGCTCTGATATGGCCCATCCTCGGCGCCGGCTGAGACCCTTTTCTCCCCAACCTCCGATCCAGTTCCTTCTTTCGTTTCCCTCCTCACCGCTACAGCAGACAGGTTCTTCCACTTCTGCTTTGCAATATATCGCTTCTAACATTGCATCCGTACCATGGATGTCCGGCGCCAATTTGCTATGTACAGTACACTGGATCTGGGGAGGAGGGATTTCATCTGTGTACGAGGTTCATCCTCTCATCGTCGTCAAGGTCCCAAAGCCTGGCGAATTTGAGAGAGAGCAATTCCAAAGGGGAACTTAAGATCTATGAGGCCTTTTCGCAGCACCCACCGTGCCCCTCTGTGATGCAGTGTTTTCACTACACAAACAATGGCATCTTTCTAGAATATATGATTTTGTCCACCCAGTTTGGTGGAGCCTTCAACCATATCCATGCTTGTTTTGAGGGAACGCAGGTACTGTACAACTAGAAAAACTAAAATGAAGGTGCTGTGATGAATCTGACTGCGCATCCTGATCCCATTGTGCCCGCTCCAGAGGAATTGAAAGCACCCAATTCCGCTGCTCAATCCGCTGCTCAATCCGCTGCGCACCTTAAACCGATTTTTGTCGCCCGGTCTGCTGTGAGTCGTGGAAATTGCAGATCCGTAGGGCAATTGTTTTGAGGGAGGTAAAACTGCTCCCCGCTCCAGAATCACTTTTTGATGTGCCTTTACCCCCAGTAACACAGTTTCCAGATAGCTGTGAGCGTCCGCACTATTTTCAACGTCATGGAGCCTTCTACGGAGTTTGAATGGAGGGGCCACCTCTATGGGTGTGTTTGTCTTTGTGGTTGTATTTGGAAGGCGTATATGTACGGACTGTATTGTAGTAAATGGTCCGTTCTAAAGATTCTTCCAGGCTACTTTTTCCCCAATCAGAACAACTTGATAATATCGTTTCTAGCTATCATCGCTAACTATCATTTATAGATATGTTTATCTACTGATGATGTTGATGAAATGATATCCAGCGACGATGGATAGATACTAGCCTAGGTAGGTAGGTGTGTGGATCGGTGGGTGGTGCATGGTCTCATATTTAACAAAAACATTTTCACGAGCTCTCAAAACATTACCCATCTTCATAATGTAATATCACAACCAATATTCTTCATTAGAGCTTCTACGGTAGCAGATAATGAAGCTAGATAAACTATAAATTCAAACCTATAAGATCCATGATGGTTGAATGGATATTTGAGGTAGATGTATGATGTTGAAGAGTGTGATATTATACTCCGTATGCATGGGAGGGTTGATTTCTTTGATGGCTGAGCATGCTGAGACAAGTCTTTCTCAACGCCAACCGTGTAAAGGCAACGATTTCTCTTATAACACGGTTAAATACCTCTTCAAGCCGGCGCAGGAACGAATGTTCAGGCTATTATAGTAACTATCCCATGATACCCTGAGGGCGTGATAACACACTAACGCGACAAGTCGTTTTTTCGAGGCAAATTCGCCCCAATTTTGAGGCTCGGGCTCACGCTCCCATGGCTCCTATATAAAGAAACCAACTAGCTATTCAGGCCAGGCGCATCCCTCCAAGTTATCAAACTGGGACTAATGATTTGACCACAGATGAGATGGGGCCAAAACGGCAGAGCCTAAAGAACCTCGCTGGGGTGCAGGATCTCAATCGGAAGAATACTAGTTTTTGCAGACGTCCAACATATGCTCTCTGCGTCTTTACTGTGCTTTTTATGCTTTTCTACAGAGGCCACGCTTCTCCAAATCCAGTATCACCAGAGGAGGAAATTCTTCAGTTGAATGCCACGCAACTCCGAGTATTCCAGGTGTACAAGCCGGTTCCCGATGAACCATCACACGAAATCCCAGGAGGATGCAATGCGGAAATTTTATTGATGCGACATGAGTTTGGTTCTAGCTATGGCCATCCGTTTGTTGGTAAGTCCAAACCTTTTCGTGTATTAATTAAACCTACGTCGCATCGCTGTAACATGAATTCACACTTTGATATCAAAAAGGAAACTATGTCCCTCCTCGATGTGATTTCGACACTGTAATCATGACTATGACAGTAACATCCAAAGGTCGCCAGTTCGATAGACTTGCGCTGATGTTTCTTGGCGATACCGAAGTATTCCGGACATCAACGGCCGAACCTACGACTAATGGTATTATTTGGACCTACCTCAAAGACATGTCGCTCTACAAGGCACTATGGGCCAAGCCCCAGAAGTTAATTTTCGATCTTGGGAATTTAATCAACGATAAATACACCGGCCCATTCGACGTGAAGCTGACCGCCAAGTTTTCCTTGAAATTTCATGGGATTAGGGCGGCAGATATTATACTCCCGATCTCCGCCCGGCTTTCAGTAGCAGATTCTCCAAGTGGCTTTAATATTCCAGATGATAACGCGACTGTGACACATATTATACATCCAGATGTTTCGCGAGCCACAGTGTCCATATCTGCCTGTGGCCAATCCACGGAAGAATTCTGGTACAGCAATGTCCTGTCTTCCGACGTACTTACGTTTAATAAAACAGCGGGGCCACTGTACGGATACTCCTCTTTTCGGGAGATTCAGCTATTTATAGATGATCAATTGGCGGGAGTTGTATGGCCTTTTCCAATCATTTTCACAGGCGGGATTTCGCCTGGATTTTGGAAACCAATTGTCGGTATTGATGCTTTTGACCTTCGCGAGCCAGAAATAGACATTACCCCTTTTTTGCCTGTTTTGGCTGATGGCCAGTCTCATTCTTTTACGATAAAGGTTGTTGGTCTTGGAGATGTGGAAAACGGAATTGCAGAAATTTCAGACACGGTTGGATCATATTGGGTCGTAACCGGGAAGATATTCATTTATCTCGAAGGGGAGAGGGGCTTGGTCGATCAATCTACAATAAATCGACGCGGCGATGTGGCCCCCGTTGTTTCAACAAAGTTCGGATCGGATATTTCACACGAATGGCAACAGAATCCAACTACGGGTATGAATGAAACCCTATCGCATACGATTCGAATTTCTAGGTCATTAAGCGTCACTTCTCCTTCTTCGCAATGGACTCAAAGCCTAAGCTTTTCCAACTCGGGGTCCTTTTCAGAGCAAGGTCAGACACAGCTGATCAAACAAGTGACAGATGCTACATCAGAATCTCTCGACTTGATGGGCGAAAAGGACCTCGTTATTAGCAGAATAGCCAGCTCCTATCCGCTTGAAGTGTGCTCAACGTATCAATCCAATCCTAACGGTCTGGAGATTAACGCCTCCCTGTCTCGCGGTTTGCAATTCTCCTACCAGAGTGACGTCAGCTATTATTCCCCTTATACCCTCACAACTGGTTCCTCCGAATATGATGCGAGACAGTTGGGCAAAGCAACATATCGGTCAATGTCCAAGGGCAGTTCAAGCTCTACAGGCGATACATTGGAGATTTTCAAAGAGAAGTCTGCAGGGGCAACCTTCGACGTAAGAATTCGGGCGGTAAATGGAACTGTTGTCAAGGAAGATGAGCAACCCCTGGCATTAAGCCAGTGGCTGAATGAGGATGTGCTGGCGGGCAGAGGAAGTATAAAAGCAATTTTAGGCAGAGGGCCAGGAAAAGCAAATATTAAACGCCTCTCATCTGGCCGTCAGCACCATGCATGGATGGATGGACGCCCATGTCCGTATCTCGAACAAGGTGTCCAAACTCTCCGAGCTGACTGTTCTTAACCTGTCATTCCCAAATCCACTCGCCAAGCAAAAATTCAGGGACGCCGGCTGTCCTATTCTGATTTCGGCAAGGTTGCATTAGATCCCTACAACGAAAATAGATTAGCTCACGAGGATGGAGTGGATCCATAACATGCACCAGGAAAAGGGTTAGCGAACAGAAGAGCAGATAATCTCCTCCAAACTTTGCTGGATATGAGAGCCCATGTCAACAGCAAGCCCAATGGAAAAATGATAGCCTATGTATTAGTACATCATCATAATCTCCAAGTTTTTCTGCCAACGCATTTTCCAACGAATTTGTGAAAAAAGTGGGTAGGGTTAGGCAGCGTTCGCATTTGACGCGAAAAATCCAACAAATGGATAGATGCATGATAACTCCAGGCCCGTTTTATCCAGGCCTCAAAGGCCGTGTTTTATTTTATCAGGCACGACGTTGGCGCTTCCAGAGCTCCAGCCTGGGGTTTGGAAAAGTATTAAGCTCGCGAGATCTACTTTATGGCGCTTGGGCTAACTGACGATTCCTGTGCACTCCAAGCCTGGGCCGTTGAACTGTGGAGTTGACTTACGATCTTGCCGATGACCCCGTCGGGTCATCCTTCGAATTCTTCTTTTCCTTGCGGGCCAACGACCCGGGTTGAGCCATACTCCTGCGTAGTGGGAGACTACGTGTGACTAAGGAAACTCGGTCAGCCTACCATCGGGGTGCGAGGCCAGCCACTCTGGATACGGCTCCACCCTCTTCGTTGCACTGTCGAAAGACTCGGGGTCCAACACGGGTTGGCGGCGCCCCTGCTTACTTGTCTGACTTGTATCATATCCTGGCCCCCCAAGCTCCAGTGCGCCCCTCAGCTTCCTTCAAGGGTCCATGGGGAAGAAAAAAATAGAAAACATCACAGGCTCCCCCTCCCAACCTGTATTTCGATTCCAGTCATCCAAAAAACCATCATGGCGGCAAATACACTACTCCCAAATATGCACCCACAAAAGAGGAAAAACGAAGACCACCTTCGTCCGAGCACGCGAAGGCCTGTTCAAAAGAGAGCCTCCGCCGCGTGTCGCAGCTGTCGTGCTCGGAAAGTTCGCTGTGATGTTCTATTAAAGAGCACGCCCTGCACTAACTGCCGCCTGGATGGCGCCGAATGTATCATTGCGGAGAGCAAACGGACAAGATATGCTCGTACGGCGGATGGCACAACGACACTCATTGGAAACCCGCGAACATACACTGACAACAATGATGGGAACGCGGGAATTGCCGCACCGAACAACGACCTCATCGAATCTTCAGGCAATCCAAGCGGCGAACAAAACAATGGTAAGTTAATTTCCTATTAATGTTTCCTCCACTTTTAACAAATTTCCAATGTCACGTTCCTGAAACTTTCCCTGGAGGTTTTGGTACATATGATATGGAATAAACACCGCCCGCTGACTTTGACAAATTCAAGACTACGATAGTAGCAGCGACTGCGAGTCGCGGCAGCAGAAACCGCCAGCCGATCCAATCATCGCGCATGACATGATTTTGACAAACATGTTCTCCATCATGAATCAGCTTTTCGGGCCCGCACCGGAGCCCATGCGTAGAGAACCGGATATAGACCTTCCCCGATTCATCAAGCAATCCCACGTGGACCTCGAGATTAACGATTTAAATTACCTGCAGAAGAAGGGGGTGTTCGAAATACCCCATTTTGCGTTTCGGAATGCACTTCTGAAAAGCTTTGTAAACTATGTTCATGTTTACATGCCCTTCCTTGACCTGAAGGATTTCCTACAGACCATCTACGAGAACACTGGAAGAAAGCGTATAAGTCTGTTGCTTTTCCAGGCTGTAATGTTTGCCGGGACGGCGTTCGTTAATATGAAGCATCTGCGCATGGCAGGGTATGAATCTAGAAGAGCAGCGCGGAAGGCCTTCTTTCAGAGAGTGAGGGTAGGTTTTACAGTTTGCTCTTTCTGAGATGACTTTGAGATTTTAACCCGACGATTTTTGCAGGCGCTTTATGACCAAGATTATGAAGAGGAGCCCATTGTTATTATTCAGACATTAATGCTCATGAGTTATTGGATGGAAACTCCGTTTGACCAGAAAGACAGCTTTCACTGGATCGGCATCAGTCTGGCCTTGGCCAGACTTAACGGCATGCATTTTGATGCCACAACCGCTTCGATGGATCTTGATCAAAGACGGATTTGGAGACGTACCTGGTGGATTTTATACAGCAGAGACAAAATGATAGCGCTTGGTCTGAGGCGCCCTATAAGGCTCAGAGACGGTGAACATGACCTCGACATGATCAACCTGGACGATTTTGACCTCCAGCCATTTCCAACCCACCTGTGGCAAATGATCGGGGCGAGCGAAGTCCTTAGCAACCCAGAATACCAGCGAGTTTTGGCACTACTGTTCATTGAGAAGATAAAACTGTGCAACCATTTACATCATGCACTCATTTTGCAGTACCCCACTCCGGTCGAGGGCATCGAGATGATGAGAGCTGCTAGGATGGCCCTTATCCCGAAACAAGTGGTACCGGATGTCACACAGATCAGACATCTTGATGAAGGCCTAGACACATGGTTCGCCAACACCCCCCAGGAAACTCGATACTCCCCACAGTTCGGCTGCCAGTTGTCCGAAGGCGAGGAAGTCCTGCACGTTCACCGCGCGATGCTAAGATTAATTTATCTCGCTACGCGAAGCACACTCCATCTTCCAAAGATCATACGCGCCCTCCCAAACAAACTCCAGCCGATCGAATTACACCGACAATCACTCGAAAAGGTCCGGCACGCCGCTGCCGGAATAACATCCATCACACAGGACCTGCAGCACCTAAACCTAACCCGCTACCTCCCCTCAAACGGCAGCACCCCTCTCCTCTCCGCCATCGCAATGTTCGTCATCGACACCCTCGTCTCACCAGGCTCCTCTATCAGACTCAGCAGCATAAACGGCTTACACCAATGCCTGCGGACAATCGTCCGCCTGCGGGAAATCTATCCGATCGCCGACGACTTCGCCAGCGCCGTGGAAATGCTCATTCGCAACATCAGCGTGCACCAGCACCTGGAATACCCACACAACCCGTTGTCCATTCAAGACAAGCCTGCGGATTGCTTCGACCTTACCAGCGCCGTGACGGAATGCTACGGCCCCGCGTCAGAGCCCAAGGCATGTCCCCCTAGCCTGAAGATTTTAGATTCTATCATCTGTCACCCGCGCATGCGGGAGGGGAGCAGTGCCTCTTCGTCGGATACTGGGACCAGTGCTGAGATTGTTAGGGATATAGTATATCAGCATAGGGAGCACTACGGATTTGCAAATATCGATGCAAATGCCAACGCATATGCGAATGCAAGTGTAAATGCAACAGGAAACCCAAATGAAACGGGATTTCTTCTTAGGCCCGAGAACCACATTGGCGGTGGCCATAACGCGTCTACCTCGTCGTCCAGCTACAGCAGCCCAGGCAGCTATGGCCATTGCGACTCCAGCACGAACACCCTGAGCAGTTACGCCGTGAACTATCATATGGCGCACGTACCCTTCCAAAGCGCAGAGGCACCGCGAGCGGGAGCGGGGATCGAATCCGAACCGCAGTCGCAACCGCAACCGCAACCGCAACCACAACCACAACCACCACTAACCGAACCGGGGAGGCCATATCCAATGCCCAGCCAGGGAATGGATGATCAATCCATCCAAAACGTGCTATCTATGTTCTCGGGGCATTACCCGATGTATGATATGGGCTACACGCTGTGCGGGGACAGGCCCGTCCATGATGTTTTACCTAGAAACCAACGATGAGGATCTGGATGGCAATGGCGGTAATAAAGCAGCGAGGGAAGAAGGGCAAGTTACAGTGGAAAGGACGTTAATGGTTTCTTTGTTGCGGCGGGACTGGAGCAGGAAGTCGGCTTTTCGGTGTAAGATAGTATATATGGGGGTTTTTTCTCTCTTTCTTGAATTTTTTTTTTTTTTTTTTTTTTTTTTTTTTTTTTTAATAGGTGGTTGGTGTTATGCATGTGAATGACGAAACAATTATGATGTGTGATAATAAATATGACAAGACAATATGACATTTTTGTTCCCCCCCTCCCTCCTTTTTTTCTTTTCTTTTCTTTTTTTTTTTTTTTTTTTTTTCTTGTTTTAGAGAATCGTCAATACAGAAAAGCAACTGATTAAACAGGCCACAGCCGCAGTATGCCACACAGTGCAATGAATGAATGGGCTACCTACTACCGTTGATGAATTGTAACTCTCTAGCACTGCTTGAATGGGTGTGGTCACATGGCCTTCCAGGGAGCGACAAGGGATGCCGACATTTCTTCAATTATTTTTTGTTTCTTTTTGGCGTTGAGCGATTTCTAGCTCTATATCTCCAAGTCTATCTAGCTCGAACAAAAGAGAGATAAAAATGAAAGTCCCTCGCTGGCTCCTGCTTGACTCATTAGAGGGTGACTACCACCCTCCCTTCACGACATAATTCACAAAGGAATAAGGTGTCCAAGGGGGAAAAAGAACAACGGGTGGCAGTGCAAGAAGCTGTCGAGAAATATTAAGAGCGGGAAGTGAGCTGGGGCGAGGTGATGGTGCTAGGCAGGATATAGCAGAACTTGTGTGTGGAGTGGAATGTGGTATCATAATACAAAAAGGAGAAAGTATAAGCAAAAAGAAAAAGAAAGAAAAGAGAGAAAATGATACAATGGTGTATATTGAAATGGGAATCAAAAAAAAAAAAAAAAAAAAAAATCAAGACATCGGATATTAAAAATATTATAAAGAACGCAAAAAGAAAAAAGGGAGCACGAGAGAGAGGCTGATATCCGATATCCTTTCTCTCTAAGCAGCCGAAGCACTAAGATTCTTCCCTTTCACGCTTTTCCACTCAACACCGAAGGCCCCAATAATGCCCAGCGCCGACATGGCAACAGGGGCGTACCACGTTTGTGTTAAGGCCTTGTTATACACCACCTGCACCGCGTCGAGGAATTGAGGCGGAATCACCGTCGTGAGCGACGTGGCACCTTGACCCATGGCGTTTTTTGGATCCACCCCGGGCGCCGCAATAATGACACCGTTGTAAAGTTTATTGGTAAAGATGTTCTGGGCGACGGAGATGAAGAGCGCGCCGCCAAGGAGCTGAGAGAACATCGTCACGACGATCCCGACGGCGACGTCGTTGATGTCCAGGACCACTTGCGGCGTGAGGATGGGGAGCTGGAACCCGAGTCCGACTCCGAGGCCGTAGATGACCTGGTAGCCGATCCATTTCGGGGAGCCGGTGTCTGTTTTGAAGGTGGTGAGCATAGCCGCGCCGACGGCGCTAAGCACGGCGGAAATGTAAAAGAATGGGGTGAAGTATCCAATTAGCGAAATGAAAATACCGCCGATGATAGAGCCGATCACGACGGTAAGGACCATAGGAATAGTCATGACTCCGGACTTGGTTGCGGAGACGGTCTTGATCGCCTGGAACCAGATCGGGAGGTAGAAGACCAGGATGAAGAACGAGGCGCCGAGGGTAAAGGCGAAAAAGCTTGCGAAGGCCATGCTGCGATTCTTCACGATGCGTGGCGGGACGGTTGCGTTTTCTCCCTTCCAGATCTGGATGACGACAAACGCAATCATAAGAATACCGAAGAGGATGAACAGGACGATGATGCGGGCGCTACCCCAAGCGTACTTGGGGCCCCCCCACTGGAGGGCAAGAAGCAAGCAGACGATACCGGGCATGAAGGCTGCGGTTCCCCAGGGGTCCAACTGCGCCAGCTGGCCCTTCCATGAGTCCGGCTTCTTCAGCGTCTGTTTGGGGTGCTGGAGGAAAACAAAAATGGCGAGAATGGTGACGGCGCCGATGGGGAGGTTGATGTAAAAGCACCATTCTCCAGGAGACATGATCGGTAAAGGGCACCACCCCATCCATGGGGCCAGCCACCGAGGTATTGTCGTATCATACTTGCTCCATAACCCCGTTGTCTATTTTTCAAGATGGACAGTCGTCTTTGTTTTCATCAAGGGGAAAAGAGCTAAAGGAGGCAAACTGG